TTCAAATATTAAAAATTTAAAACTTAAAAGCGCAAGCTAAACTTATTTATGGGTACTATTGATAGTATAAAAATCATACAAAAATTTTAAGCTCAATCTGAACAGGGCACGTTAGGTACTTTCCTAGTAAGTTCAACTGGCCACGTTCCCAGGCGGAATAAGGAAAAAGTGGGCCAGCTTGCGTCGCGCAACAATAATTTCGGGAGCCGCTCCTCACAAAGTGGACCACGCAGCCGCGCAACAGACACAATTAACAACAGCTACCGCGCGACAACAATAAACACAAACAAATTCAGAAGGGAGAGCACGATAAGGGGTATTGTTGTTGTTACAATCAACAAAGTGTAGATTACATTGTAAGGAGGGAAAAGGTGTTTGTTTTAGTACTGGTATTCAATGTCAGTGTGTTGAGTACAGCAAACCTTTAGTTTAGTCATACCTACTATGAAAAAAACTCTCCTTTTTGTCAACACGTAAGTTAGCCTTTTGTAGATAAATGTACTCATTACTGTTTAAAGTAAAAAATAATGCAGCAAATACTCCCCCCCCCTCCTTCTTTCAGTAACACTCGATAGTATGACACCCTAGTTATAATGACAGTTTGGTTTAGTCCTTTGGATGTCATACTGAAAAGGTTTGTCTGTAAATAAAACACGTGAAAAATTATTTAAAAAACTTTTGAATTCTTACGAAAACCGTATTTAACAACAAAAAATCAGAAAACTAGCCATATTTCAAAACGTTAAAGATTTAAATACTAGGAAGTTGAAAGTCAAAAATGCAAAAAAAATATCATTTTATAAAAAAATAAACTTACAAAAATATTGCTACCTTCACAATTTGCTTCTAATAAGTTTTACCAAGGAGGAAAGGAGTACACCACTCCAAAAAAAATTTTGAAAAAGGTTGAACGTGGTCCCCCTGTGGATTTGTGGAAAAAATCGGCACATGTAGCATTCTAGTCTGTATCATTTATAATATAAGGGTAAGAAAAAGACAAAATTTAAGAACAATTAAATTTTTGCAAAAATTCTTAAAAATACAGTAAGATCTATAACAAAAAAGTCGCATAAAAACCCAAGCAATTCGTTATACGAGAGCTTCACTGTGAACTGAAAAAAAAATAAATGTAGAATTTTTCGATAAAGAAACCCTAACTTTCTTCCTCTTCCTCTCGATTCATATCAAAACTAAAGAAAAAGTTCATGTTCAACATAGACTTATCCTCGCCCCCCTCTCCCCTCTCCTCTCCACCCCCCCCCTTCCTCCTTCCTTGTAAAATTGCAAACACCCCTCGCCTAAAACAACATTTGCTCCCAATAACCTTTTCAACAACCCCGCCAACTACAATTGTTTGTCATCAATGTTAAAAGACAATTAATTGATGTCGAATATACAAGGATCTACACTTTGTCCGCCAAGTCTTGCTGGCGGCTCAAAACCCCCGCGCGCCAAGACAAAAAACCGGCGGACGTTTTTTTTGACGAGAAACCGGTTACTTCTTCAGCCGGCTGGCTGTTTCGGCAAAAGTGAAAGTGAAGATAACATCGGGAGAAAAAAGGAAAAACCCCCTCAGGGTCAACAAAAATAATTCGCCGTTCAGACGTGTCGCGCGAATCGTATCACGGAAGGTGGCAAGGTGAGCGGAAGCATGTTGATCATGTTTACATTGAGAGAGGGAGATGAGTAATAAAATTTTGCAAAGTTATAGGCTGATCTAGAAGGGGGGGGGGAGAGAGAGGGGTAAGAAAAGAAGAGACACATCAAAAGAAAAAAGAACACATGAAGAATCGGGCAGGGTAATTTTTTTACACAACTTTTAAAATAAAAAAAATTCCAAAAAGTTGAAAGTGACCCAAAATTTTCAGACTTCCACCTTCCCTCTCCCCTCCCTCTGCCACAGACAAAAAAATATTCGCCTTGATAAAATAAAGAACTAATTATAACTCTTCACCACTCCCCTGCTCTAAACAAAACTTTCCCGTCTACCCTGTTGACAAAAAGCCTAATTTTAGAGTAAAAATAACTAAACTAGGCATAGAAGTGCATAAAAGTCTTATTAAAACCCTATAAATCTAAAAGGTCTGATGAAATAAAATTTAGAAAATAAAAAGATTAAGAGATCCAAAAACAGTAGTTAAACTTGAGTCGCGCTTTTTAAAAACGTCGTAAAAGTAATTGACGAGAAACATTTCTTATTTATCACTAGATAACATAGTTGATCGACTTGAACAAATTAATTACAGTGGTTGTTAACTTAAAAAATGTTAAGTTGTAGTAAGAAAGAGAGATTAAAAATTGTTAAAAGTTTGGGGAAATACAAAAACAGAACGATTTACAGTAGAACTCCTGTATATGTAACAAACTCCATTAGAACGAGACTTCCGTATAACGAACAACTTTTAAACCCCGGACTACACTACTCAGTGCATTTAAAACCCCTCTATAACGAAACTCTTTATAACGAACAAATTTCAAGTTCCCGAGCGATTCGTTATACAGGAGTTCCACTGTATTTTAAAAAAAATTTTATTGATGCATAAAAAATTACAAAACAGTAAAATTTGAGCCCCCAGTGCGTATTTTATTTTTTATTTTTACAAAAAAAATTTTCATTTTGAAAAATCACATATTTTTGGTTCAAAACCTTCACACAAAGTATGCCTTTCAATTTTCATATTGAAAGTTATACCAGCACGTCTCTAGAACAAAACTAAAACTTTAAAAAAGCCAGACCGAAACTGGAACCGAAAGTTTTAAATTTGAAAATTCTGATCGCAAACATACTGTCAAACTACATTGAATAATTCAAAGCAAACTTCATTTTTCAAACTCCAAAAGCTAAATAGTTGGCAAGTTACAAACCGAACCACACGATACACCACATTCCCAGCGTCACAGAACGGACAACAAGTTCCTGCCACTGTTTCCTGCCCTCCGGCTGTCTAAACATTGACAATACTTTTACAAACTCATCCGACATACGATCGGCGTGATCTCTTCTCTTCGCGCAGATTCCAGTCATTGTTATCGCTACATGAAGCGCGTAGAATGCGTTCACGGCGTGCTACGCGTTTCGTTTTTCGCCAACGGTTTCAATGAGTTTTCTGTGAAAAGGAGAAAGTTACAAAGAAAGTATGGTAAGACGGGGTTATATAATAAAGAAATAGTAAAACCATATCATAAAGAACGTTAAAGAAAAAAATTTTTTTGTTGGTAATAAAAGGTGGGTTCTTTATCGACCGTTTTTGATAAAAAAAACTAGGATTGGTAGTAGTGCAGAACAGCCAATTTTAGGTCTGAAGGGTAAGACAAGAAACAAAAAATTTTTTTTCTCTGAGGTTTGTGGCATTTAACACGTTTTTCACTAAAAAAATTTTAATTTTAAAAAATCCCCCCCACCCCCCCCTGCAAAAACCCCTCTTTTACCAAAAGACACTTCACCGTCACCCCATTCCTGAAACCGCAGTAGCTACAATGAAATCGACCAAACACGCCGGTTTAACTAAACCCATGTTCATGAACAATCCAAACCCGTTTCTGCAGTTTCGCCACAAAACAAACGCTACTGCCGTCGGTGGCGCTTCTTCACGCCGGATTTTAAACGAACGTTAGCTAATCTAGTTAATCAACAAGTCTGTAGTCAAAAAACCGAGTATAATTGTAGAGAATGAGCGGAATGAACGGTGGAAGTACCCTACCTTACTCTTCTCTACCCTACCGTACCGTACCCTACTCTACCCTACCCTACCCTACCCTACCCTACCCTACCCTACCCTACCCTACTCTACCCTAGCCTATCATACCATACTTTACCCTAATCTATCCTAGTTACTCTACTCTAAACTATTCTACTTCACAATACCATAATTCCCTTACCTCTACGTTTATTATACTGTAACAAGCCTTACATCAATCATATTCGGCCCTGCCTTGCCTCTCCTTACCCTACTCTACCCTATCCTAATTTACAATACCCTGCCTTACCTTGCCCTACCGTTTCCTACTTTACCCTAACCCTACCTTAAATTGACCTACTCTACTTTTTTTATGTTGTCAACATCATTTCCTACCCTACTCTGTCATAATGTACGATACTCAATCCCATCCCAGTACTGCCCTACTTTCTCTAAAATCCACACTGCTATACCAAGTAATAAGAAGTCTTACCCCACCGTAAATGCATTGTTCTACCGTCTTCTTCCTTTCATACAATACTTTCACCCCCACCTCTTTTCCAAACTTATTTAGGCTAAAAATAGACAAAACTTCTATACAAACCCCTATTCAAGTTTCATAATTAAAAACCGGCTGCAATTGAAGCCACATCCACGCTGAATGTCGAAAAGAATTTTAATAAATTATGGCTTCCGGTTCAAGGCCCCACTGATATCCATGAGATTGTGTACTCATATTTATTATTAAAACGAATAAAAGGAAATTGTTTGCTCAGATCCGCCTATATTAAGCAGACTTTTGTTTTGGGCCGCGACATAATGAATCTCGAAAAGAGGAGAGGGTGGAGAGTAAATATCCATGTCTTTTAACCTCTATTGTCATCGGATAATGAATTCGAAATTTTTTGAAAAAACTCAAATAAACAAAGTCAGAGGTGTGGCTTTTATCAAAAATCATCTCTCAAACAATATATTATTGTACTTTTGTTAAAATGACAAAGGCTTAAACACATGGTTGTTCAAATAATTCTGTGCCCCTTAACCCAAAAATTCGCTACTGAACTCCATATCAGCTATTTCAAATAGCTCAGTAATTTTTATACAACCTAATATTAATAAATTCTTGGTATTCCTAAAACAATATTTACTTTGCCAATAACAATAACTTACTATTGAAAACAAATTAACAACCTATGAAAATGTGTATTATACTTGTGATTCCAGCATCGAAACAATGTTGATCTTCCCCATTTAGTAAGATGAGATGAGAGGAATTATCTAGCCAAACCTCAAGTTCTCCTTTTTTCAACGCCTGGGGCAGTTTTACTTTGGAATCCGACGAATTTCATTCGAAAGCCATAAGACAAAGGTGATCAGGGCCATGGAGCCGGATTGGTGAAGACTGGCTAGCCAGACGGGTACTTGATGGACCTTAAAACATAAATTTAAAAAAGTTTTTTCTTTCTAAGCTGAAGCTTATACCGCGCCATTATTTAGCATCAAACAACTATTTTTAATTTTTCCAAAAAAATTTGTTGGAATAGAGGCAAAATATATAAAAGTAGATTCTTACCAAGGTAGAAATGCCCAAGATAGCTTGAAGATAACCCATGGCCAATAACCCATGTAAAGCAACTTTAGCTCTGGGGTTCAATGCCAATTTCCTTCCTTTCAACCAGGTCATAGTGATCGATAATAATGTTAAATATGCCTGAAAGCTTACGTTTATATACTGTCTCAAATGACCAACCACCTTTTCAAAAACGTTACAGCTAAAACAACCTAGCCCTTCCCCTTCCTATACCTATACCAACTTACCAAATTCCGATGAATAAACTGAACAGTAACTTCGTTTTCAAAGAAATTCTTCCAAGCCGGTACTCTTGATGCCATATTCTCTGGTAGCCATTTATCCGCATACTTTGGCCATGAGTTGTAGACTAGGCCAGCGTCCAATCCTGCTACGAAACCGCCAAAAATGGCTGTTAAGAAGATGAACATTTTGGAGCCGTGGGTCATACCACGCAGAGCTTTGACGCCTTGGACAGCAGTGTGCTGAAAAAAGGACTTTAGTGAAACACAGATTGTTTGAGTTCAGTGCCTATACCTTTATATAGCCTTATCATTACTTTTTTTATAATTTAAATCAAAAAATGGTCAAAAACTCACGTCAGCCGGCTTCAGAACATGTGAAAGCCCAGTCCACAAAAATATCGAGTATAACACAAACGCCATAGTCAAATGTGTGGTCAGTCTGTACTGACTAACCCTTGGTATGTCTTGATTCGAATTATTCTCCAAATTCAGCCCACTTTTCACCATCCACCAACCAACTGCGCCTTGAGCACAGATCAAAAATCCAGCCAGTAGCATTCGCTTCTTCATGGCTCCACTGAATCGTCCTCTTGCCCAGAAGTACGTGCACGGTATTATGAAAGCAAGACCAATACCTCTTCCCCACATTCGATGAAGGTACTCCATGGTCCAGATGAATTTGAACTCGTTTAGGGTCATTTCTTCGTTTGAGGACTTACTACAATATAAGTAAGATAAAATCATAAGTAAATATGCTTCCTTTTATAAAAATTACATTTAGTTTACTGAAAAGTAACATAGTTTGTCTCTAAACCTTAAAAAATAGTCAGTTTATACCTAAAATAGTAAAAATAACTTACAACTTATACTCAGGGAACTCCTTGTACCGTTCAAACTCAACTTCCCATTCCTTATTGTTAAATGGCGGCTTCATAGTTCGAAACAGATCCCAATTGACCATACTCAACCCACTTTCAGTCAAACGAGTCACTCCACCTAATGCCACAGCACCATATACCATACCAGCACATCCAAGAAGCCATACTCCAATAGTTTTGGATTGAAAAGATGTTTGACCTGGCTGTTTTAGAGACTCGCCCAGGTAACGACGGACTTCTACTTGGGGTCTGAATGAGGAAAAGGTAAGGTTGTTGTTACAATAATAATTAAAATCGACAGAAAAAGTTTAAAATCAACAGTTATGATCCTTCAAGACTAAAAACTCACACTTTTCTAACTGTTTTAGCTGTCAAAAGAAGTTCAGTACATGTCTTTGAAGATATTCTTCTGAACAATGACATCTAAACAATCATAACTTCAGTGCCCGGTATATATTAATTTTCGTTTTTGCAGCGAAAAGTATTCAAAAACAACCTAATTTGACAAATAAACGTTTAAAACATTCACATAATACCTCATTTTTTAAAAGGAAATATCTAAAACAATAAAAATCTAAAGAAAAAAGCATTTGGAGTTATTTACCGTTTCAGAAAACCTTCACCATCAGTTAAAATAACACAAAATATCTTTATTCAAGATCAATTTGTATCCACAACAACAAAATAAAGAAAGGCACTGGAGCGTTTTTACAATCAAAACCAGCTCTGAAGTTAGAGTTAATAATGACAAATAGATTTGGCCTCGACAAAAAGGTATTCAGAAAAGATAACAACGAGAATCAGGTGATTATTACTTGGATTTGAATGAGAACGAGGCTAAAATTCGTGACCATCGGACAAAAGTTGATAATATTTTGCAAAAATATCGTAAAAATAGCCCAAAAAGCAGTCGAAAGATCGTCAGAACACGACCAAAAAGCTAGCAAAATCCCAAAAATGTTCCAAAATTACAATCACCTGTATCCAAAGAGCTAGTTAGACCTATAACTAAAACACGACATCCTATATCATAACATTCATAGCTAACAAAATACAAAACAGATCCCATTCCCAAAATCCTATTTAAGAAATAGCACCATAGAAAAAAAAAGATACTACAATAAAACGTCGTATTTTAGCAAAACAAATATATTTCGACCTAAAACAATTTCTCAACTAAACAAATACAGGTTAAGACGGGTTTAAGATTCCTCTGTAGGTGGGATCGGTAGTTTTGGTGCAAATCCTAGAGTTTCGTACTTGAATCTCCAGTACGCCACTACCATACGATCCCACACATTCTGGAAATCATTAAGCGCTGGTCTTACGTCCAATACGGTGAAGATCTTTGAGTTAGGGTCAACAGCTCCTCCATCGTAGTAGTCAATCACGTATTGTACCTAAAATAAAATTTTTAACACCATTTTGTTAGCTTTATAAACATGAACTAAAAAAGACAGTTTTCAGATTTAACAAATGTTGTATGACACACTAGTGAGTCTAAAAATAAAATTTACCTCTTTCTGTCCACATCTATCTACAATCCAATCGTGCCTATCAAAAGGTAGTTGATATCCCATCCAGCTGCGAATACGAGCTCTTGGCGATATATTCTTGGCATCTCCTTTGAAACTCTTCAGTTTTGGACAATCACATTCACTGAAATTAAAAAAATTTGATACCTAAATATCAAAAAAAAGTATATTTTCTTCTATATCTTAACGAAAAATAGAAAAAAAAAAACCGAAAATCCCTTTTTTAATTTCATTTAATTTTTAAAACTCTTATTTTTCTTTAAAATTCAAAAACCTTACGGATGAAGCAAATTTTCCCATTTCAAAACCTCTCTCCAAGCTTCTTCGTTGTTAGCGTTATGAATCTTGATAATATTGTTCATGTCTGACTCTGACAGTTGATCTTCTTGCCATCTCCATCCTTTCCTCAGCATGGCATTCCAAAACATTTGAGGTGATGGGTATTCCCATGTCTTTCCTGGCTCAGTAGCCTTTGGAATCGTTGAACGTTCACGTGCCGTTGACAAAGCAAAAGGCTGATCTGGAGCTGGCCGCTGGTTTGGTGGGGGCATCTCAAAACAATATTTTAAAATTGAAAAACTAAGGTTTAGATCAAGAAGATTAACAACTTTATTCTTAAATTAAAAAGCCAAATGCCAAAGGTATAAATGTGTCTTTATGCCTAAAAAGCTCCTTAAATCCCTTGTTTGACATCCTAAACAAAAAAAAAACACAAATAAAAATAACTTACAGCATTGAGCGGATCAATTTGATGTGGATTGGCAGCATTGGCTCCAGCAGCAGACGGGCATTCGCTAACATAAGCCGTACAGTTCTTTTCGCCCGCTTGATTTGGACATCCTGAACTTGAGGTTGATGCTACGGCTCTTTTAATTCCATCTTTGTCCAATCCAGCAGGTTCTCTAGCCTAAAACAAAATATTCTAATATTAATGTTCAAAACTACAATGAGAAAACTTCTTAATTATACTTTACTTAAGTTTAACTTTGAAGAAAAGATAATAAAAAAACGTTTAGAGCCTAAAGAAGCAAAATCGTTCTCAAATTTAAAGCCTAAAAACAGAAAAGTAAATATTATAGCCTAGATTTACCTGATTCTGAAGCGTTGATGCAGATGAACCCATCGAGACAAATCTATAAAGAATCTTATAGTAACAAAAACAGCTTATTTAAACACGACAAACGAGGAACCAAACGTAAAAAACGGCCGAAAAATCGAGAAAAAAATAAAAATATTTTCAAGAATTCCTTTATTTGTTTTCGTGCCGGGACAGAAGTAACTTTGTAATGTTCGTATCTTTTGGTTTTTTCTATAGATCTTATAAAAATACTATACAGAAATATTTTTAAAACATATTTTAACAAGACTTTGCATTTTTATTTTTATAAAATTTTTTACTTTTAAAACGATTAGCAAACTTGTAAAATACGTACTTCGTAACTTCAGTAATAAAACCCTTATTAACATGCCAAATATAATTCACAATCTTTACTTAAAAGCTTCAATATATACAAAAAAGTTAGAATTGAATCTAAAAAGACATAAAAACCATTCATTAATAAGGCCAAAAGGTAATGAAAAACAAAGAAAACACGTTCAAATTCAAGGAATTTTTGGCACTTTTTGACTGAACTAGAAAAAAATACTGTAGTGAAATGAAAGATCAACAAGAGAGCTACAAATACTTCAGCCGGTTTAACAACAATAAATACATTAGTTGGGAAATAGATCTTAATAAGTTATTTACTGTTACCTAAACAGTAAAAATACAAAAAAAGTTAATAACATAATAATTTAGGTAATAAAGAAAATAAATAAAGTAAAACTAAATAATGCCTGAGCTTATAGAGTTGAGTTCGATAGGAATGAGTTTATGGCAAGATACCAAATGTCATAGATCAGCGTAGATAAGGCCGTCGTTCATGTTTTTAAAGTTCAATATATCCCGTAGATCTAATATGGCAGGACCTGAAAAGTAATCTATCTTAGTACAATACTAACCTGTTAAAAGCCTGTACATTTCACTCTATAAAAGAATTTACATCTCACTCGACCTCACAGTAAAAGCTGGCTCCTAGATCTAGTCTTCAATAACATAGAAATCATAAAAGATTACATGAATATCAAGAATAACTTACCGCAACTTGGAAACCTTGAGTTGAGGGTATTCAGAAGCTCGTTGCTAATCTTCCCTTCTTGTACCCAATTCCCAGCAACAAAAGCAGCATCCTCTTTCTTCAAAGACATCATGAATACGTTGATAAGCCGAAGGAACATGTTAGTTCCAGGTTCCGAAGCTTTCAGGAATACACTCATATCAGTTTCGATGATTTTTGAGATCAAACTCATCTTCACACGGTCAGAGCATTTTTCAAGGAACAGTCTGACTAGTTCAATACATTGTTCTAGGGCTCCACAGAGAGCGGGTGGAAAGTCCTGAAAAAGTGAGATTAAAATTGATATCAACTGCTTAAATATATAGCTTTCTTGTATTACAACCAGCCTTTCCAACAGTAAAAACTTCAAAAGAAGCTGATATTAAACCCCCTTGGAAATTTTCAAAAAAAATATATAAATCCCCCTCCCTTATAATCTCGCTCTCCATACTTACCACTCCAACACATCGTTCATTCATAAAATAAAGGGCATGATGTACCGTGTCCGTACAAACACTCTCGTAGTCAATAGAAGTTTGTCCTGCAGGGAACCCTGACTTGACTACCCTTCGCCAGCATCTGAATACCCGTTCAACATTCCGGTAGTCCAACTGTTCGTAACACAAATTCCTCTCTCGTAAAACGACAAACTTCAAAATTTCATTTAGACTAAAGCCACTTTTGCGAGTGCTCGGGATTGGTTGAAATAGGATGAAGTTGCCATACTGTTTGGTCTGGATTCCTTTGTTGAGTTCGCAAATGAGGAGGACCAGCATTTCCACGTTTCTGGCTAATTTGAGATTAGCAGCTTGAGTATGAACAAGTGCAGCTAGAGGGAAAATTGGACAAGCCGGCATGTTGTTCAGGGCTTTGGTTAGGAGTAGGTCCTGAAAATGAATTTTTATTTTAGTAATCTGTTTTAAAAATAAATTTATATTTTTTATTAGGTCTTAAAAATAAATTTTTATTAGTAATAAATCTGAGAAATGAATTTTTAAACGAGTAATAGGCCCTTAAAAAATTTTTTCTATTAGCAAAAAATCCTACGAATTAAAATTACCCTTTAAAAGGCAATTTGTCCCTTGTCTTTACCTGTAACTGCACAGAATATAATTCAAAAAGTAGGTATAGAGCAAAAAAAAAACAAGTAACTGATGTACTATTAAGTTGTTCACATAATTCTGTGCTCCAACCCCCAAAAATTTTCTTTGAAGAGCACAGAATTATTTTAACTTCATTATCTTTTGAAAAATTCATTTTTCTCTGCTTAGCCTTCTCCCGAAAATTCATTTTTAAAACTTTGTACCTAAAAAAGACTTACAACTCTATGTGTGTCCATAACAAGCAAATTGGTGACCATTCCCAACAGCGGATATATCATTTTATTTACAGTTTCCGAATTCGCTCGAGCATTGATCAAATCGAACAGTTTCCATGACAAATCAAATACTACTGTAACATCAACTTTTCCCAACATGTCCGTGTCACCTGAACAAGCATGCAAAACATGTAACCCATTCAGGATGGGCGAGAACACTTTTTCCACCAGAATTACGTCCTTCTTTCGTCGAGCGTACTCAAGAGCTAAGTTGAGTAGACCGGATAGATGCTGAAAATTGATATTGTAGAATGGTATGAGTTTAAATATGTAAGACAAAATTAAAAATGTCTTTAAAACATGGTATAGCCATTATAGGTATCAGTCCGTCAAGTAATGTTATGATAAGACCGAATCAAGACCGGGCGGTGAGTTGTTATCGTCCCCCTCTCCCTTGGGGAGAACAAGGGAACAATAACAGTCTTGAACTCAGGTCAAAATATTGGCAAAATACAATATCATACGCCCAGCCCTTTACCTCCAAGACTAGAAGAATCGACTCAAATTCTCCAAAAACCATTTAAAACTAAAAAACCTACCAAAAACCCTCCTTGCTGATTGAAATATTGAAGTACAACTACAGAAGGAACCATTACCGTTAGTGGAAACACCAACATTAAACAGTAAATCCATGAACCAAACACATCGATGATATCTTTCTCCCCAATTCCAGACTTTTGATCGCTTAGCATGTTCCATGTGAATCCAATTTGACCGAGTATGAACAATGAAATCGACTTGAACTCATCAATTGATAACTAAAATTATATACATTAACTAACACGACATAAGGAGCAGTTATAATATCATAAAACAAAGCCGGATAAACATCGTTCGCTTGAAAATAACCCTAGGCCGATTATAAAGTTAAAGATCGTAATCCCAGTACCAATTTTAAGACCAAGCCGAAAAAACAGCCACTTCTACCTACTAAAATACTCCATTCTATCCTAAACACCCCCTATATCTATTAAAGCTAATCTTTACACCCAAAAACAACTTTTCATTCTACCCCATTTAAAATAAACCCTGCCCTCAAAAACCTCCAACACTCAGCTATCTGAATACTCAGTATAAACCTTACCAATCGTTCCCGATCATGAGACACATACTTGAATGTGTACGCCAGTATAGCAGGTACAAACTGTTTGTATTTAAACCTGATTGTCGCACTACTAGCCAATTCCAAAATCCGTCTGATTACTACCGGCGAACAAGCTTCTTGCTGTGCTTGAATTGGTAACGAGATGTACTTTCTGGCATAATGCAACAAACAAAGGAAGGCTTCGGAAACCTCGGGAAGTTCAGATGCGTTGATCAACGTCTTTATGTACATCAACTTTTGATCGTCTGACTGAAATTTGTATGGTTAATATGTGTATGTAGTGTGACAGTAAAATAGAGTGGAGTAGAGTAGGGTGGGATATAGTATGGTAGAGTAAAGTAAAGCAAAGTAATATACGGTAGAGCAAAGTATGGTAACATAGAGTAAGGTAGGGTAAGGTAGAATAAGATAGGTTTTTAATCACAATTTATGCCAACAACAGAACAGATACAATGATATAGATCACTAATATTTACAGCAATATAACAAACTTACCATTCGATTCATGACAATAGAGCAGTGGTAGATGTTCCTCAACGTTAAAATGTTCTCCACAACCTAAAAGTAAATCAATAGCAATGTTTAGATATTATTTTATGTTAACAGTTTTAAATTATGAATATATACCATGTTAGGTATAATATTATAAGAAAAAAGAATCCGGGCCGATTAAACCCCCTGTCAGGTCTAACTATAGTTATATTACAGTTGTAACTATAATAACCTTTATTTCCAACTTACCGCACGTCTAAGTTGTTTAACCCTGGCCTCATTACAAGGCTGTGACCTGATTTGTGTAATATACTCCATCAGAAAGGTGTTAGCAGTCTGGACAATAAAAAAGAATACATCATGCAACTGCTTTTTAGATACTTCTTCTTTCTCCAATGCAAAACCCATTTGCTTATAAAAACCACGAAATACATCATGCCCTCTCATGTTTACATCAACGTCCAAATCTTGTAATAAAGGAATTAATTCATTTAGCTTTGCTGCTGGGTCTGATTCCACCTAAAATAAATTTTAATGTAATTTAGGTAACAAAATCTATTTTTTTTAATTTTCAAAACCTTAAACTTATTTTAGAGTTATAGAAAAAATATTTTTAAAAAATTTGTGACGTGAAAGATCAATCTTCAAATTTAGGTAACAAATTTTAAAATTTTAGGTAACAAAATCAAGAACATGGCAAAACCTTACCGCCATTGAGCATTCCGTAATTCCGGTCATATAAGACTGTAAAGTCATTTGACTAGGCGCATAATTAAATGTTTGAGGTATCGTACCAGCCTGAAGATCGTTGATCCAATTTTGGGTAAAAGCTGAGGTTGAGGGAACTTGCATGTTCATATTCTGATTCATATTGTCCGGCACATTCTGATATGGATGTAGTAGGTTCATTTTACAAAAAAAACCTGCAAGAGATACCGTTTTAGGTAACAAAATTATAGCATTAGTAATATCGATGAATGAAGCGAAGTTTGCCGCGAAATATAAATGAAAATGATTAAAATTACAAGAATAACATGTTAAAATATTTAAAATATGAAAATCAGCTTAGAAGTTTTTAAGCCTAGATTTTAAAGAAACAAGCCTGACACATTGGCAAGAACAATAAAATTAATAAAAAACCAAAATAAATTATTAAAAAATCTCAAATACCATTTTTATCTTCAATATTCCTTGAAGATCTACTTATTACAAATCTTTTTTGTCTGTTACCAAAGTAAAAAGTAAGTTTTCTCTACTATTTCCCAGTTTTTCTCCTTCTCTCGGCCGAAGAAATAAAAAACCAAGCAAGGCGGCTCTTTTCTCTCGCTCTTGAAGAGAAATAAAAAGAGCCGACTTGTGTGACTCCGTGGCGCAACGGTAGCGCGTCTGACTCCAGATCAGAAGGTTGCGTGTTCGAATCACGTCGGGGTCAAAGTCGTTTTTTACCATTTTTATTGTGAAAAAAGTTACAACAATGTAAAAAAGTCGTATTTATAAAATACTAAAACATACCTTAGAATTTTTTGTGTATTTTGTTAAAGAAAATGGCATAAAAATTGGGTTTTGTCCTCAAAACAGTGTAAAACATCATTTTGAGCCTCAGAATCACCAAAAAATAAACAAAGTTTGAAGTACTACAAATAAAAAACACCAAAAGTAGCCTTAAAATGTAAAAAATCAGTAAAAGTTATTATGTATTAAAATTAGAAACCATGTAAACACATTTAAAAAACAATTTGATTCCGTTACGCGATAATATGGCTAAGGACAATGGTATTGAACAAAAATAATTTGATATAGGGAATTAAGTGCGGAGGAAAAACATCTGGCGCAATATTACCCTATCCGAATGTTTGTGGGTAAACAATGGCACGGATTAAGGTAATTTACGGGACCATTTTGGGAACGGTCCCAAGATGGGGTTATCTTGAAGAAACGTTTTTTTCAGTGAAAGATGAGATTGGAAAGTGACAGTTTTGATAAGATTAGGTATAAATTTTCTATAATTTTTCCTATTTTTAATCAAAGTATTTAAACTTAAAACTACAAAAAATAATAAAAATTAGAAATTTTTTAATTTTTTTTAATCAGAAAAAATAAAAAATTTGCATTTCATGCCAAGTATTCAAATAGACCTCATTTGTAGCGAAAAATTAGCCTTCGACTGTTGCGCACTGATTTTTATCGTCGCTTTGATTTGGATTAAATGAGAGGACAAAAATAATTTAGATCGAACATTCGATACGACTTGATGAACTATGACATTCAAAACGTAAACAAATGCTATTTTTGTGTGAGTTATCTTTATCAAAAGTCGCACAAAAATGCCATTTTATAAGTTGTAAAAATTTGAAAATTCGTCTACCTTTCTGGTTCAGCTCAAAAAAAATAATCAAATTTACCCCGCCCAACAATAGATTTTTCATTTTGCCATGCCTTAGAAACAACATAATTTTCATTTTTATCGTGCCAAATTACCCTGCCTAAAATTTTTTTTTATTTTACCACACTCAAACAATTTTTTTTTGTTTTCCATGCCAAAAAAAATATTTTTATTTTTTACCATGCCCAAAAAAATATTCTTATTTTACCACGCCCAAAAACAAAATACTTTTTTAATTTACCACACCCAAAACAATTTTCTTTACTTTTCCATGCCCAAGCACAAAAAATAATTTGGCGAGCGTAAAGCAGGTTGTGTGCCAGTATCTAACAACGCCAATTCGATTGACTGAACAAATGTTGATTACGCAACGGTCGAGGACTTCACTTGACAGACTCTCGAGACTCTCGACTAATGTCCTCAACGAGAGCTCTAATACTCATAATTACGGGGGAGGGGTGAACGCATTTTCAGGTAAAAACTGTCGCAAAATAAAAAAAATTTTTTTTTGGTTTTTAAAATAAACTTTTTAAAATTTCAGGTAGAAGTTTAAAAATATAACTGATAAGAAAAGTACCCAACCTGCCCTGCCTAGAATCAGCTCAAAATTTTTATATGAATTGTTTGTACCACCAACAGTACCCATAAAAAATTTTAGCTAGAACTTTTAAATTTCAAAATTTAAATATCTGAGTTTGTTGTCAATTTGAAAAAATTTGGCATTCTGTTTCAAGCGCTTTTTTCGATTTTACAGGCAAGCTACGCTTACAAATTTAAGAATGTAGGTTCATTTAAAAGTTTTCTACTAGTATATGAAAGAAAAATGATTAAAAGTCAAAAGAAGACAAAGTTATAAGCTTGAAACACAATGTCAATTTGGCGGGAAATTCAAAATGTAATTTTTTGATTTCGATTTTGTTGAGATTGACTGAAAAACGCGATGTAATACTTTTCTGAAGATGTTATATTTACATTTTATTTCTGTATAAAAAGTTTGAAGTCAAGCAGAGAGGGGCAGGTCGGGCACTTTCCTTGTGAATTCTTAAAAAAAATAGCGAGATAGAAAATTAAAATAAAAAAATGTTAAAAATAGCCAAAAATAGGTTAAAAAAATAATACAATTGAACTCACGTATAACAAACTATTATATACAGTAAAGGTAAATATTCAAAATAAAAAAATCCCATTTTAACAAAAAAATTTAAAAAACCCCGCCTAGCCAAGTTATGTTTTAAAAAATAAAAAAAAAACAGCCCGACACTAGGAAGAGGTTAAACTTTGTCTGGCTGTAAAGCGATCAGGCCAGAGCGTTTTTGAGGCGCGCAAAAGTCGAATGCCAAAGCGAAGGGAGAGAGAGTGCCAAACGCATAGCGTCGAAATGAGTCGTTATAACCCAAAAAACACAAGAAAATAAAAAGAAAAACGGAAATAAAGAAATTGTTAAAAAATGTTATATTTAGGAAAGTCTTGACCATTGAAAAAATAAAAAATATTATACAGTGAAACCCTTTTAAAAATATTGTGTAACGAGCTGATTTTAAGTTCCTACATACCACTACTACCCATTGCATTTAAAACTTCTCTATAACAAACTCGAAAATTTATTTAATCTTGCCAGGCCAGCCAGAGAAAAAATAAAAACATACCAGGCCTAAATTTTGGGCCTTAGGCATGGGGCGAGCTTTAATTGAGACTGGCTGGCTTCTCACTCTCGTTATACAGGAATTCCAGTCTTGTTATGAATGTGAGCTTTAATTTTCAAAATTTGCTGAATAAAGGCATAGTTATAAGTTCAAAATTCAAAAAATGAATAATACATTCAGTTTATACCAACATTGTACAGCCAAACCTCTTTATTTTAACATATTCCAAACCTGTCCTTATAACCAAGTTTTCACGTTAACCAGGTACTTTTAGTGTAGTAATAATAAATGTTCTATTAAGAAAGGCTGGCGAGAAAATGCTATTATAAAGAAAGCGTCATACTATTGAAGGTCATACTATAGAAGTTCCACTATGTAGTAGTCACCCTCACAAATAACGACAAGTTTATGACACTAAAACTCTAAATTTGTTACTAAAAAATATTGAAAACAAGCTTGTTTTTTTGTGTTTTGCTTAAATTAAGGTAAAATACGTCTGCATCAATAAACTTAAAAAATAATGTAATAGTCATTAAAAATAGCGAAATCTTAATTTTTTAATTATAAAATTTAATTTTTCTACATTTATAGACCTTTTTTGAATACTTTTGAAAATTTATTATCGCGTTTAAATCAAGCCATGTCCATTTTTGAATCGCGCGTCCACTTTCCCTTCGAAATTTGATGTGTCTTTTTACTTTTTGTCTTTTTACCTCTTCGAAATTCAAAAAAAAAACCGTAAAAACATTTTTAAAATCGAGCAAATGAATAAAAAAATTAAAATCTACCCCCAAGTTTTGAAAAATTTTACAAGCCTTGACTTTCTTTATTCAAAACTCTTAGTTACGTCACGTTTTGAAGAACAAAAAAGTACAGTATACCCTTCTTTCTGACTTAAAAACAAATTTAAAAAAATTTAAAAATCCACTCCTTCCCTACTTTGCCACCCCTACCCGTTTCGCCTATAAAATTTGTTTTGCTATGTTCTGCTAACCCTAATTCCCCCATTCAAACCCCCCTTCTTGATTCGATCGTATTGTGGCATGGTAATCAATCCCCCCACTGCTCTTTTTGCCTCTCCATGCGCGAGAGGGGGGGGATCATGTGTCGGAAAGGGAGAGACGCCAACTAAAAGCGATAAAAAATTCGCCCCTCTCCCACCTCCCCCCACTATTTCTCCGCCATTTGCGTCGCCATTCATTCGATAAATTCAAATTTTTTGGAATAATCGACAGTGACAGCGACGCTCCCAGGCATTGTTGCATAATGTCACAACAATACGAGGGGTCATTAAAGTGTCAAGACAAACAGGCTACGAGGCATACTTTGCAGAGTGGAGTCTGACGGAATTGCGGTTTATGGCGATTTTAAGGGGTTTAATTGAAAATGGCATTGAGTTTGGATGGATACGGTTAGAAAGACTTCAAGTTTAAACGGCTTTCAAATATGTCAATCTGCGTGAAACAACCGTAAAACTAGAAAAGAAGGATTTGAATGGACCTTTAAGACAAAAACATAATTCGTTTCAAAAAAAACGCAGTAGAACTTCTGTATAACGAACTCTATATAACACAACTTCTTTATAACAAACAACTTTTTACCTTACAGCTAACACTTCGCACAAAGCTCAAACAAATAAAAACAAAGTTTGTATGTAGATATAAGAAAGAAGCCTTCAAGATATGATACAGATAGAAGAACTGAATTATTGACAGAAAAGACGGCATAAACGTTAAGATAAAGCTTACAACTATAATAAATCTATATACATGTTCAGGTCCTTAGTAAAACAGAGGTGAATAAGATAAGTAATGTAATACAAAGTTCTTTATAGCAGAGTGTTTTCTGAAAAATGTACAGTGAAACTCACGTATAACGAATCG